TAGCAGACGATATACATGCCCACATAACTATCAACCTGTTATTGTATTTGAACGCTTTGATTTTTTTCAGGGTGCTTTGAAGATTTGTTGAAAATGCAGGGGTATTGAAAATTTGTTCTCGACTAGGGAACATGCTGGGTAGACCGACAACAGATGTGACACGCAGATACACATGAAAGGTAAAGTACAAAAAGAACATCCCGAAACTGCAGTTTGGTGTGACATAATACATGTCTTTATTGTGTTACGCATTTGCAAAATGTGCTGACACTGCCATCTGAATAATTTGCATTGTGTTGCAATACAAAGTGGGAACGTGTTCTGGTGGCTTAGCGCATTCCAAGTATTGCTGTTACAAACATATTTTGGAATACGCATTATTTGACACTCCTCAAGTGGTGGCATGGTATGTGCCACCATGCTCGTCATCATCTTTGACGCTCATCACTACATCCATATATGTTTTTGGAGCCCCTCCTGCATCCACCCACGACCTGTGGTTGTTGTGAACACCAGATGGGAAACACCCAAATCAAAGTCCTTTCCAGAAGCATATTTTGGACACCCCGTCCGAAGCACGTATTTTTGGCCGAATTTTGTAGGCACCATTCTGAATTCAGGATTGAAACTCATGAATATATATAAATACATATCATACCATGGCGTTATCGTCTGGTGGGTCTGAAATGTATGTGACTCTTGGAGGCATTCTACAGAAAGGAAGTCCTTTACCATAAATGAAGAGATTGCCAGAGAACTAGCATTGTCTTCACACCGTAGCTAATGTGAGGCAACTTACCCATGCGCTGGCATAGACAACAATTGCAAGTGTGTCGTCTCTCACAAGCTTCACGGTTGTCAAGAATCGGCACTCAATGCCACTGCGCGTAGTATGTATTTATGCACTTGTGCTGGAAGGAAATGAATATTTCGCACAATTTGATCCCTTACTCATTACACCATAGCACATTGCTGAACCACCCAGGGCTGTGAGCAAATCAGCTTGCACTGCTGTGTGATACAGCATTTTCCAAAACGGCAAAAGTGAGGGACGTGAAAGAAGAATCTACGACCAGGATTTCCATTTCCTTTTCAATATGTATATTCTTACTTGAATTGGATTTTGGAATTCTAAATTCAGTTAGGAGCAACAGACACGCACACAAAGCAATAGTGCGCTCGTACAGCCGGAAATTGGAATGGAGTTATAGAAATGTTGATGGGCCTTGCTGCAACCAGCATTTTGTAGCAGTCGTAGCGAGCTTAATGTGACACATCAATTGATGTGCCTCCCGTCAATGTTGTTTAATCCTCGTGTGTCAACGCTCCATCGGCGTTATTGCCCAAAATGCCATTGAGTGTAATGGGGTACGCCTTGTGACGCCCTTTCAATCGCCATGTACATCAAAGCCATGGGCGTCGATATTCGTAAGATGTGGTGAGGCTTGGGAAATACGGATACCGCTTAAGATAACAATATGTCAAAATATGCATATAATCACATATATCTATTTGATCATAAGAACATGTCTAAAATGTAGTAAAATTTTGACAATTGCGACACGAATGACATTAAAATTCCATCAGTCAAGCCCATGCCCAGCCCATCCATGATATCCACCCATCGCTTTTGAAGGTAAACCCACTTCTCAAGGCCTTGCTCATCAGCACTGCATTGTCCTTGAATATATTCAAGTCGGAGACCCTCTAAAGGAGATGGCTACCCAGAGCCTTACGCCCAGGATGGCCTGGGAAATACCGATACGATTTAAAAAGAAATACAGGAAAATGTGCATATTATTCCGAGTTCTTACTTTGGGCCTATAAATGCGCCTAGAAATACGGCCGAAATTCGCAAAATTACAACCTCAATGACCAACAATTCAATCAGTTAATATCCATGTACGGCCAATGCAAGGCATCATTGCTTGGTATTTCGGCAGCAGCAACTACGCCATGAAAGGATATATCATAGTCGACCCACACAAGAATGCCATGAAGACAAATATCCACCTCTTGTTCGATTTATAGCGCAGGGTGGATCATTGTCTCTGCAGTGATATGTAAGTTTAGACATGTAAATATCTGTGTGCCGCCAATCATCGTGCAGGTCGTGCGAATGCATAGTCTGTTCGCTCACAATGTTTGGCATATTCCCATGGCAGCATCAAACCCATATCCAGTTACATCGGCCAGAGGGGAATAAATATGTTCACTGGTTCACGTCATGGCAATGCCGCTGTACGTGCACATACCCCACAGTGTCCGGATCCCCAGATGTCGTGGCGTGCAGGTCACATATCAATGGAATGCAGGTCAAAGCTATTGACGCGTAAAATTAAAAAGAATATAGAACAATTTTGATAAACACGTCTTGAAATACTTGCGCTTCAAAACCTTGCCGAGATGCACATTTTGTTGCGTATTTGAATGAGACCCAGCTGTATTTTCCAAGCCTTGATGTTGTGCATGGGGATTGCAGCAATATTGACAAGAAGGGCATTAGCAAGCTCATTCAACACTGTTGCATCTCCGTCCCGCTTTGCAGATGAAAGTATTAATATTGGGCCGTATACTCCCATTGCGATTGCTTAGGGAAGACGTTATTTAGATTTGGCATGCTTAGCATCAATTTGCTGGTAAACTCAGACCCCAACCCCCAACCCTTGAGTAAGTGTTTTCTTTGCGTTGAGCTGCTTGCGTTTTGTGCTCAGTTTCTCTCATCGGAATCTGTATATCATCTTTCACGGCATCTATATGGAAGGGAGCCTCGCATACGCACTGCCAGGGCATTGTGTTATTTACGTCATGCGTCAACATGTCAGTACTTTTTACTTATATCTTGGGTGTGCCATAATCCATCAGCACGTCATACTGACCTTTCGGGTGCCCATGACGTACACCAACTCCCCCTAAACTATTCCCAAATAAGCAGTACAAGGGGCACAGCTGTAGTCCATGGCAACAGCACGTCAGCGATCCATTGATGGCGATCGTCATTTATCATGTGCTGTCTAGTATACAATGCCCTATAATCAATGAGTCCAAAGCGCTCTCATGCAAGCTTTAAATTGTCCCATATTCCGATGCTACAAGCAGCTAGCCCAATGCTGACCAATTCCAGAGAAAATAGGGAGCACTCTGCCAGACTTCTTCCCTCTTTTCATCTGTTTTCTATGGCTGATGTTCTTCCCCTGTAGTATATTGCGCTCAACTAGTTTTGCAGGCATATTCCTGTCATGTATTAGGCAGCACTTTCCCAAGCAAATCACAACTTTCTTTTTCCTAAAAAGCGTAATTCTGCAGCTGGAGCTGTAAATGTTTCTGCAGCATTTTCCCTTCAGCATCACAGCCATTGAATTATGCCAAGTACTAATGTGCTGCTCTGCAGGCCTATTGGCTGCATTCTGCCAGAATTTCGGCAGCGTTTCCCCAATACTCTGGGTGCTCAGTACAGTGAACGTGCTACACCAGTACAAAACGTCATGTTTGCTATGCCAACTGCGATTCCATTTGACACAAACTGATGCCATTAGAGCCCCTTGTGTGCTTTCGCAATAACTGTGACGGCCCCACTTTGCATCAAAATGGCATCGCAGCTGGCATCGCAGACATGACGTTTTCTACCAGTGCTACATGTCTGATTCCTGCCTTGTGACCATTTGAGTGTAGTTTCTGAGGTCCAGACCAGTGTTTCGAAGCTTTCAACGGCATTCCCATATGATTCCTGTCTGCTTTTTTGGTAAGCTGGAGTTTCATCTTCATGTTCATAAACGGTCCGGGAGGGGGCGGTGCGCAATGCAGCGGCAGCCCGGGGGGCCGCGATGCCCTCGCTCCGCGTCGCTGGGCGGGGCGCCCGGGGCACGGCTGGCAGCGTCCAGCCCCCTGGGGCTGATGTCCCTGGATGTCCCTGAGCGGCTGCCGATGTTCTCCTGACCGGCCAAATCTGAGTTGGTCCCAGTCAGCTGTCGTATGTCAGTCATGAGGCCGCCATTGTGCTGACGTGGCACAATGACTGACAGCAAGTGTAACACATGCATAAATATGCGCCAATACCTGCTTTTTACACCTTAAAGAGCAAAACTGGCTGTCACTGGGCACAAGTCCACGGGACAGGGTGGACTATCGTCGAGTCCCCCAGTTAGTCACCACGTGTTAGTAGTCATTTGTCACCCAGTGAATGAAGCAACGACAGGATAATGGCAAATTTGACAGTGCACATGGGAGGACAGTCAGCGCCAGCGCTGTGGGCATCCGCACAGTCTTTGGCACGGTCAGCGCCACGGCTGTGGGCGTCCGCTTTGCGGCTGAACTGCTTGGCTGGGAGCAGCAGCAACTTGCCCAGATGCTCTGGGCCAGAGCACTCAGCCCCGATTCTGTCCGCCGGGGAACTGCTGCCAGCATCACCATTGTCCCTTGTAACAATGCTGTTGCAGTGCGGAGGACAATTTTGCGAGCCACAGCTACGTTGATGTCACCGACAACACTGACACCGACAGCAGCAGTGGCAGTGGCTTGGACTGGCAGCTTCGCTGAGCAACGCGACGGTTAGCAACCTCTCCCAGTTGCCTCACGCGGCCAATGGCCCATTGCAGCGCTGCCGTGGGCCGCCAAAACAGTCAGCACCAGCGCGCTGCGCGGCAGCTTGCCCGGCGAGCCCACATGCCATACCACGCCCCAGGCGCCCAACGTGCGTGCTTCAGCCCACGTGCCTCAGCGGCCCCAACGGTGTGAGAGAGTGACTCAACATCCCCCCAGCGCCGGTACTTCACAGCAGCGTTCCCCCGCCCTGATTCAGCACAACAAGAGGCTCACCCCGAGGCTCTCTACACCCTGCGCGCCGCCCACCGGCCACGCACTCCCCAGGCCCCCCGTCCGCCGCTCGACTTGGATTTTTTCGGAAGCCGTTTCGAGGTCGCACGGCGTCGACAGCCCATTCAGACCGGCGATTTGTCACGCGGCCGGGAAGCGAGGATCGGGGATCTGCAGGAAAGGCAGAGATGCGAGGCGTGCGGGCGGCGCTGTTCCTTGCGCTGCTGGGGGTGGCCGCCGGCCTCGGGGAGTCCCAAGGTGAGGCGCCGACGGGGGGAATCGGCGGATCGGTGGGTTGCCCAGGCGCCTGTGCCAACGGTAGCGGCTGGGGTGCTGTGAGCGTAGGTGCGGAGAAAGTAATCGGCGCTGAGCCGACCCACCCGTCGCCAGCCCGCCCCCCTCAGGAGGCACCGTGCCGGGACCTTGGACTTGGGCGGAGCCACGTAGCCGACCGGGTTGGCGAGTTCCTTCATTTGTTGTCGTGCCCCCTGGGAGCTCACGAGACGCGTCTGACCTGTCAACAAGTCGCGCACGACCTGCCCCGACCGCGGGTGCGAGAGTGCCCGGCCGGTGTCGTGTGCCGCGAGTCCTCGGGGATGGCGCGCAAACAGAGAGGCCACCGCGGCGCCGGCATCCCGAGCTACTGGCGCGTTTTGGTGCGCCGCTTGGGAAAGAGCCAACGTTGTTTTTTGGCCCGGCAGCGTTCGGAGATCCAAACGGCGTGCGGCGCGCCTCGCCGTACCCCGAACCTGCCGCCCTGGAAGAGCGCCCACCGTGCGGCTCCGAAGCTCTGGTGCACCGCAGGCTGACCTGTCGCCGACTGCGACCCAGCGAGGCTCGCGCATCCGCGGGCGTGTGAGGCTTGTTTGACGCGCCGCTCCCGCCGATTCGCCTGGACAAGAAGGCCGAACTCGACCCCGCGCCCATCGCTGCGCGCTTTCTTCGTCCCTTTCCATTTGGGCCCTGGTTGGACAGCTGTCGTGGCGCTGTCTCGTACCGCTCCCCCTTGACGAACACGGAATTTGGTCCCTTATATGCCCATGTGTGGACAGTCCACCTGGCGCTTTCTCGGCATTGGGGCGTTGTCACGAGCCCCGAGCGGTTAAGGTTGCGAGATACTGGACGTGCTGGGGGAGGCGGAGCGGTGATCGCGATTGGGCCTCGCATCGTTGCAGCGAGGGCGCAGCAGTGACCGACACACGGCCGCTCGCCCGTTCGTAGCTCGAGGGGCTGCCCGCCACTAACGGGAAGTTCTTTCGAGCGTTCGCTCGCCGTGGGCAGACGCTGGCGCCCACTGAAGAGGTTGGCCGCTTGGCCCGTCTCGAATGTTCATTCCCGCGAGGCCGGGGGGGATTGACGCTCGTGCCCAGCAGTGGAAGTGGCATGCACAAGTTGGAATGCTTGTCTCAGCTTTGCAGCGCCCTTCGGATCTGCAGACTGCAGAAGGGTGGCTCGATCCTGATTGTGCAGCCGTGCCTCGGCCTGCGGCCCATGCTCATACTGCACGGGAAGGAAAGGGAGCTTTTTGTCAATTCTGCGTGCAAGAAAATCTTGGTTCCTCAACAGTCGTCGACAACCACAGTGGCTTTCTACGGCCTCGACTGTTTCTGGACAGTTTTATCAGAGGTTCATCAAATGGTCGATCAAGTCTAGTCAGTCGTCATCCATTGCAGTCTTAAAAACTTGTTGCTCATAGGCCTTGTCCCAGCACCCCTTAGAAGAAGTAAGGGCGCAGCAACTGGTCAGATGTAGTTAAGGAAGAAGACTGCTGGATTTGGTGTTATGGCAAAGCTGTGCTGTTACCGCCATATTTTGTGCCAGCATATATGCAACAGCCACAAATGTATCTGTTGGCCACATCCATGACCCTGCAGATCTACCCCACATCAGGGTCCCCAGCACACAGACTCACGAGATGCGACCAGGGAGGGATACTCGATCCTGGTCGACACAGACAGGACTTCCAGCAGTTTGTTTGCGCACCACCTGTGGCCCACAGCTAACAGCCCGAAAAAAGAAGACTTGGCTACATTGTGGTCATCAGTGGCTGTCCATGCTCTGCACAGCTCACGTTGTTTGGGCCAAAGTCCAGGTCAAGAGCTATAACTGCGCAGAGATGGATTGGGATCCTTACAATTGCATTCGTGTACAGAAACGAGCAAGAGATCAGTAGAATATGCTATTGGCAAATGCTTGCCCACTAGCTAGCCTTGGTGCTTTTGTATGCCTCAAGCTATTCATGGCAACGACACTGCGCCCTTGCCTGCAATTTGGACTTGCTGGAATTCCAGATTACAGAACAGTAATGATAACAGTAAGAAACCAGAACACTGCTTTTGGCGATGGCCTAGAACAAGCTGCTCCATCGACTGCCTTTGCCACCTCAGACTTGCTGGAAGTTTGTGTGGAATGCATCTGTTAAACATGTGACAGCAGATGCTGGATGGGATTACTTTACATCTGCTTTGGCATGTTTCCGTCACGGCCTCCACAAGAGAGGTGCGATTTGCTTTCTCATTGCACAGCGCATGGTGCAAAGAATTGGTGCAGGATCCACTCTGCCTGACTGGAAATGTGCCCCCTTGCAACTGCAGACCCGAATGTGGCCCTCGCACCCCCGAGCGTCGCCCACAGAAAACTGTTCCAGGGCCGCGGCCAGCCGCCTGTGCCTGATGACGTCGTGATACCCCCTGCAAACTGCACCCGCCCGACACAATTCAGCTTCATGGTGTCCTTGAGAAACGATGCCGGGGAGCACACCTGTGGGGGTGCCCTGATCAACGAGGGGGGTAACTCCCCAGAGTCCCGGTGGGTCGTCACGACTGCACACTGTGTCGACGAGCTGGCAAAGCCGGGAGCACTGCTGTTGCCAGATGTGGACATATCTGGCCGGAGGCGGGACCAGGCCATCGAGGTGGGTGGAGGAAGGTCCTCTATTCCTTTTGATTTCGATCCAAAACAGCACATTACCATAGCTGAGGTGCTGCCCCCATCGTATCAGAAGAGATGTAGGCCTGTTGCCGCAGTGCAGGAAAGTGGATGGTGATGCAAAAAAAGATTGATAGTGTGCCAAGGACGCAGGATAGCACCAGTAGGCAGGATGGGATGGGGTGAGAGACCTGAAGTGAGAACAAGTTGCCATGGTTTTTTGCTCCAGTGGTAGTGAGGCGAGGGGTGCGCAAAGTTCGAGCCTGTGCATGTGGTTGCTGCTGATCAGTCTGGGTGGAAGATCAATACTAATAATTGGTATGCTCCTGCCTGGTGGAATTCCAAGTATGTGGGCAAGTCCTACTCTGTGAATGGCACCACACTGTTCACCTGCACAATGCCAGGGTATGCAAATCAGTTTTGGCTAGCTCCGTCAGAATTGATGAAACGATGCCTTTGCACCTTGGGTCCAGTGAAGGGTAGTTGCTGTAACCCTTTTGGTGTCCCTTGTGCCATGGCACAGCACTGGAAGGCTGATTTGCGTGATGCATATGCGATCAGGACAAAACAGATGCACGTGTGTAGCAGCAGTCACCAGATGTTCTATCGATCAGGGGCACGTGTGTAGATTTGTATCACCTTCCCATGGTGCAGTTCCTCTGGCAGCATTTGATGCAGTGCCCATAGCTGCACAGTGGAGTATAAAGGGTACCTTGGGTAGAGCGCTTGCGGATGTGAACAGTGCCAATGGGTGCTCCATGGGTGCAAGGCCAGTGATTGCAGTGCTGCATCAATGCAGTCAATTCTAACGAGGTGTTCTTTCAGTTTGGGAATGACCCTCACAAGCAGAAAGCACAGTTTAGCTGACCAAAAGTAGAGTGTGTTGCTTCACATCTCCTTGCTGTGCCTCTTGCGAGCAATTGGACTGCAAAATCACCATGAGTGCTGACTTGGCATCTGGCATCCCATTCTGCAGAGGATCCCAACAGAGCAGACGTTTCTTCATCCCAAATGGAAGAGCGACCGCACAAGGGGCAACGACATCGCCCTTCTCAAGCTCTCCAACACATCTTGCTACAAGTTCCCTCTCAACATAGCAGAGAAAAACTTCACCGTCCCCGGAAACGAATCCGTCTCCTTTGTGGCCTTTGGGCGCGAGGGCGCGGACGCGGGCTTTGCCGACCAGCAGCAGGCAGGCATGTTTAACATCATCCCAAGGAAGACCTGCAAACAGGATTATGTCCAGGAGGGCACCAAGCTGAAGAAGTCGATGATCTGTTCCAGGGGGAACGTCAACGTCGCAGTTTGTGCAGGTCGGTGGGCTCGCTGGTCGTTGCTTGCTGAGGTTCTTGTGCTGCTGTCAATGGTTTCTGTGGCATCTTCGACATTGCTGTCAGCTCTTTACTGAAACTGTAGCCTCCGCAGCTGTTAATGGGACTCTGCGCTCTAGGCGCACTAACTGCCGCAGAGCTGCGATTTCAGCAAAAGATAACGATGGATCCTAGCGTCTTCTCTCTGTGGGTATTGAGTCTGATATATCCTACTACTGTGCTCGCTGTGTGATGATACTGCATTCCTACGCAATATGTTATATGTATCAAGATCTTCAGATCGCGACCTTTGGGACACTCTTCTGAACTGCGAAGACGGCGTTGAGGGCATCAGCAAGTGCAAAAAAGTGAAATGATATGGATGGGGGTCGTTGCCGTGGTTGGGTTGGCTTCCCTGCAGATCATTGGCACTTGAATGTCTTCAGCATCCCATCGTTCAATGCGTGTCTGTTCATTGACCTTGAATTGCACGTGCCAAATACGACGAAGCAGCACCCTTGCACCTGCTAAGTTGATAGCGGGACAAGCATCCTCACAATTGACAATTGAGAATCGTAGACTGAGTGGCTGTGAGTAGTCCATGCAGTGCCGACGGGCTGAGCCTCACAAGATTAACAGCTTAACTGCGCCCTGGCGCTCCGTTTTCGCCACTAGTTGCGATAATGCCTTGCCAGGCACTTGTCCCGCCAATTGGCCTCCGTCTCTGTTCCGACGTGAGCCGACTTGCCTCCACTGAATCCATGTACTAGGCAGACCACCACACGATGCGTGCGACACAATAGAATGCAATCCAAATACGCGCACAGACGAGTGTAAGCAAGCACGCGAAAGCAGAACGGCTGCGCTTTCACCTATCTGGGGAGTCCTTTCATAGCACGTGTCAACACGCTTAATGCGAAGTACGATAACCGTATTGCAATTCTTGTCCGATCTTTTTGCAATCATTTCCGTTTGGTGAGCCTCTGCCTTGCCTCGCAGGCGACGAGGGCAGCCCCATCTTCTGGTCCCCGCCCAAGACGACCCCCGAGGGCCGCGACCCATTCGCGAAGCGCCTCGTCGGCATAGCCTCCTTCACGGACGTCGACGACTGCCAGTCGCCGGACGGCACGGCATTCTTCACCAGCATCTCGAGCTTCAACAAATGGATCAAGAAGACGATCAAGAAGAACAGCTGAGCGCGCAGCGGCGCATGACGTCGGCGCCTCTGTCCCGCGACCACCTGCGCCAGGCGTTTGTCGCGCGCCCGAGAAGGTTGGGCAAGGGGTGGTGGAGACACATGGAGGGCAGATGCCGCGGGGATGCAGGGCCGGTCCGATGTGCCTTTCATTAGATTTCTGTTCGGGTCCGGGCTCGGGTTGGACCGGGCAGGGATTGGATTGATAGGACGGAGGCAGCCGGGCTTGTGGGAAGGAAGCCGGTCGTGCTTAGTGCCTGCGGAATGTGGCGGCGCCGTTGCCGAGTCTGGATGCGCTGTAGACTGCAGTTAGTGGGAGGCCACCTGGCGGCCATGGGGGAGACAGTCGTGACCTCTACTCAGCCAACGGGATTGACCCTTGAATCACGGGCGTTATCTAGGTGGCGTGGGTATCGTTTCCACACATGTATCTTTATCTTTGCTGCACTGTAAATATGCCATCTTCGTGACAGGGTCATGCCATGCCGCCATCGCTCTGTGTTTGGCCACGCATTCAAAGATAGGAACCTTTGGGATTGCTGCAATCCCTTGTTTAGGGAAGTCACCACGGACGCTGGGCAAGATAATATGGACGTCAAACGGACGCAGGGGGGTGGGGGGGTGGGGGGGTATATGGGGGCCTAGACCCAGAGAGGCCGTGCTAATCTAATGTACCTCCCAAATTCTTTCAGAGCATGTGCCGTGAGCACCGGCGCGTGGCATGTCCCGTAGGGCAAGCCCCCATTTGTTGACGCACCAAAACAACCTGGCCACAGATATTTTTTTCGCTGAGACTTTCGGCAAGAGCTAGAGGGACTGCTAATTCGCCTTCAGGGCCTGCGTTGTGCCGCCAAGGCATCGGAAGCGTCGTTTTTTTTTGTGCATTTGCGCCGTGCAGGGATAATAATGCGGGTGCGAAAACAGGGCTGCTAGCGCCCAACCCGCCGAATCACAATGGCATAAACTTGCCAAATGCTAAAATTGACAAATCTTGGTGCCGGGGGGTCACATGACGACCATCAAACGCAGCAACAAGGGCATGAAGCGGAGAAGCGCCCGCTCACGAGGCTGGCTGGCTGGCGTAAATTTGCTGGCGGAGGGCCAGCTATTCGCACAACAGCATGGCGTACAGCCCCCCACTGAGGTTGACCGTGATGACTGCGCGCAAAGCCTCCTCGGCGCTTCGTGCGCGCCGGGCGTGGACTCCGCGGACGATGGGCAACCGTCCTTCCCCATGCCCTGGGACGCCGCAGCTCGTGCAGCGAATGGAAGGCACTGGCCGAAGGGAACGGAGCCCCTCACCTGAAGCAGCACACGGAGGGGCGGTAGACGGGGTGAGTCACAGAGGCGGAGACGGACGGAATACCTCGACCAAAAGACCAAACCCCACCGTGGGAGGCGCAGGGAGAAGCACAAGGCATCAGGCGTATTGCGCCCAAAGACGATAATATCATCTTTTAGCCAAGGAAGAGACTGCACCATAACAAGGAAAAGGCAATAACACTATCTTTTCTTGGTTCTGCTGGAGTTGCGACAAGTTCCAGGACGGAAACAAGGACTGGAATTTTCTTGCACCAAAGTATCTCGTCGAATAGAACAGGCCAGATGGGGCTCCTCCCTAACGGAAGAGATGCGGACACTGTGGCTGGCGGCTCTGTGCGGCTGTCGTCACCAGCTTTGGTGCAAGACCTCGCATGCTGTGATCCCAAGATACGAGCAGCTGGAAACGGCCAACCAATCCTGGATTGCGTGCAAAGGGGAGGGGGCTTCGGAGCCCTCCAGCGCCTTTTGCGCTCCCAAGAACCGTCGCACAGCACGCAGTCCCAAGATAATTTCCATACATGTGATGAAATGCCAAGAATAAGCAATCGATGCACATGAATCCGAATACATGATACGAGGGGCCCGAATCAGAAACTCGTAGAAAACTCCGACGCCAAACCTGCGAATGCACAATCCGAGTAGTCCGCATCAAAGCCTCCCATAAACTCCTGCGAGAGCCTGCGACAATCCCGAAGCCAGGTGTGCGGCGCCCGGCTGTCGGCGGATTTGATCAGCAAGTCCCCCATCTGCGGGTTTGGGGTCGTTTGGGCGTTTGGGGTTTAGGGGACAGGGTCATAGGGTATCATGTCCTCCCCCTTCTGCAGCGCCAGGATGATGTCCGGGTTGCGCGCCAGCAGCTCCTCCACGTCGGTGCCCTCCCCCATCATCCGCCGCACGTCCGCCATGGCCTCCTCGAAGCCCGGCACGTCCAGGACGACGGGGTGCCTCTCCACGAGAGCGTCCACGTCCGTGCGCGGCAGCAGGCGCCGCAGGCGGTCCACGTCGCGCCTCAGGGCCGCCAGGTCGGCGTCCAGCAGCAGGGACGGCCGCTGGAGGCACAGGCTGGAGACGTCGGCCTTGAGGCAGGCAGAGTGGCATGTTGGCGGTGTTCGGCGTCAAAGGGACAGACAGACACATGGCAACTAGGGGCGGATCTGCCGCCAATAACAATCTGCCTCTATGTCGTTTTTAAACAGATTGGCAAAAATTCCGCTGGATACCGCACGACAACGCTTTACATGGGACTTTCAAACGCGATATAGGATCGCGAAATGAATCAGCTGCAGTGGAAGATGCAGCAGCAGCCAGCAGCCAATGTTGCTATTGAGACAGCAGGTGGATCCATCCTATTGACAGAACCCCAGCACTGTCAACGAGGACAGCCAGCAGATAGAGAGTTGCCACATTTTGACTGTACTTGTTCCACACAAAATACTATGTTCCAACTGAAGCAGTTCTGGCAGGTATGCAGACTGGAGAACAGTTGCTTTTGTGAACAGGGACAAGGGCAGGACTGAACTCAGGCAATGCTGTGCACAAGTGTGGGATTCCTTTCACAGCAACATGTGTGGTTGCCTGTTGTACATCGGGCTAACATGGACCCATGGGATGGACACAAGGTGCACCACCACCATAGAGGTACAAAAGCAAGGCACACGTCAATGCCTATGGGGATGTTCAACCAAGTCTGGAACTGCCAGAAAATACCTGACAGGCACACAGCCCACAGTGGCAGCGGCAACAAGCACGATTGGCGGGAATCCTTGCATTGACAGTCGGACATGAGAAGGCTTGTGCACGCCGATCCATCAGACAGTTCCTAACACAAAATTCCAACACTCGTGGCGATTTGGAGACCCGCTTGAGAAGGCTGTCCAATTGATCATCACCAAACGGGAGCCTGGCAGCAGAGGGTTTGGGCCTCTGCTGCCGCAACTTTTGTCCAAGATAACATCATCTTCCCAGGAAAACACCACCCTGACAGTTTGCAAATGCAAAGCTTGTTGATCTTCTGCATAATGGACCAGAACGAAACAATGGGAATCCATGCAGGCAAGGTTGACCACTGTGGCACCTTACCTGGCTGTTGTTTGCTTGGAGTGTGGCAAACTGGCTGGAGCAACGCACCATTTGTTGTGGTACTAGACACCCATCATCGCCAGAATGTTATGCAGGGAGTCCGTTGCATGCAAAATCTGAAGGCGAAAGAACCCCATACCTCTGGCAACATGGATTTCAACTCCACGAGTTTGGTTGCCACTTCAGGAGCGATGCCCACCAGTGCTGCGATCAGCTTGGGTGGCATCGTGGCCACCCGTGGTCCAAAGCCAGGGAGGAGCTGCTGCATCACCTCCAGCTGCCTCTGGAAGTGATCTTCCTCCATGCCAAGCTCCTCGCTGGCTATTTTCTGGGCACCCAAATACACAAACACTGTCAAAGGGCTGAGTACATCAGCTTGAATCTATTTACCGAATTGTGACAAACCAACTGCCTTTGCACCTGGAAGGCGATGGTGGGCACAATTCCATCAACAGCGTTTGTTCAAACCGCCAACAAAACAGGCATCGATCACTCAAGATTCCTAACTTGGCATGATAACAGCGATCATGGCACCTGTGGTCTGATAAACAGACGACCTCACAAGCAACTCAATTCCCACAGTGCAACCACAAGGGAAGCAGGCTATAAGCAACCCATACCATAACAAGCCTCAACTTGAGCCCTTCATTCCACATCAGATTTCTTTCGTTCATCTGCCACCCCAGCTGCCATGGTGGTTCCAACTCCTGCACCCGCCTCGTGCTGCCCTCTCCCCGGAAAACCTGCTCTAGGGTGGTCTTTGCCCGGCCATCGCCTGAATTGTATGTGGCTGTGGGCAGTGCCTCACCTCCAGCCCCATTGGCACTAGATGGTGTGGCATGGCCAGGGAGGCAGGCCCAACGGCCTGGTTGCCAGTGGGTCTGGGGCAGGTGCGCGGGCCTTGCTGCGCAGCAAGGATGGGAGTCAGGGCACTGCAATCGGGGGCAAATGGCGATGATGAAGATTTGTGTCAGCAAATGGTCAATGAACAATGAGCGAATCTCGCAAGAACAAGGGCATTGATATTGATGTCTAAACAATGCCATGCCACTGAGGGCATGTTTTGCAAACAGAAGGCGATTTGCCTGGTCTGTTATATAAAGCTCGCTTCCACTTGAACAAATCAAGTGGAAATAAGTTTGGTGAGGGGCGATGATGGCTCCAAGCAACCAAGGCCAAAGCCTTCAGCTACCTCCTCATCCTCCGTTCATAATCTGAAACAGACACAGCTGTGCCTGCACATGCACATCACAAGCGGCACATCCAATACGATGGGAGTGCCCTGTTACCATCTTTGCCCTTGCACACCCTCTTGTTGCCATTTAGGTCTTGTCATGTTGTGTAGGCTCTGCACCAATGGAGCACGCCCTTTTCCTAGATTCGTAGTCCCTTCCCATGTCTTGCTGCTCATGCCACTCACCGTTCACACTCTTCCTGCTGCCTGAGATACTGAGATATTTTCTGGCACCCCTGGATACTATGCATCCTTCATGCATCCTCAGATACTCCTACTTCTCAGATATCCCAACACCACCCTCACATAATGGAAAAGAGCCCCCGAGCAACTCGCCCAGCAGGGGCATGCCAGTTGCAGAACATGCTCTCTGCCCCATTCGAAACAATCCCCTCAGCTCCGCCCAACGACCATTCGCCCAGCGCACCAAAAGCCAGGGGCAGCCGGCGAACTCCGCACGAGTGTTCGCAATAAGAGTCCTCAGGAAGGCAGGGAATGAATCCCAAGGGCATCCGGCACCAATGGGCGATACCAGCCACAGCTCCTGCGTCTGCGCGACGCTGGCTCTCAAGCTGCCCACCACTGCCCTAAAGTGCGAAAAGGCGCCATTTTGCTCCCAGAAGGCAAGCGCAACGCCAGGAGTAAACCCCAATCTCCGCTGGACTGACGACCGGCCAGCCCTTTCGAAACACTCCCCCTGCCACCACCGTCTGAGAACAAATCAATCACAGGCCGTCTGGCGACCTCACTTTGGTTAGGGGCTGCCGAAAGGGTTTTCGGGCCGCTGCGATCCTCACGCGCGGCGCCCCACTCGATTTTCTGGCGGGACAATGCGGGGCCAGTCGGACAGCGATGGACGGCTTCCACATTTGGGTGGTGCAGAGCGGTGGAGGCTGCCGTTTCGCGCTCCTCACCTCAAGCAGCGCGGGCTGACGTGCTGCAAGCAAGCGGTGCCCCGCTCCATTCAAGTTTGTGGGCGGCCTGTGTGGCCACCTGCCCACCTGCGGGGCTGTGGCGGGTGGTTGGCGTTGCGGGCAGAAGCGCTGTTTGGTACTTTTTGTGCTTTCCTGACCTTGCCAGGGGGGGAGAACTTGTTACGCAGCCAGGGCGTTACGCACCACCTTGCCCGCGATAGACGCTGTCCGCGGGTCCTTGGGGGCCATTCTGAGTAGCGGGCGCTGGGCTAATGCTGCAAGCCCCTCGTTGGAAACTGCGACCTAGTCAAGGGCACCGGTTTGGGACTTTGGCCCAGCGGGTCGGCGTTCGATTGGTGGTGTGTGCTTGCTTTGGCCGAGAGCCAATCCACCGTCCCAGTTGCTTATGTGTTGTATGCCAGAGGCAAACCCCGGGATCCTGGGACGGACGGCCCACGAAGGTATCACAACAAGAAACGAAGGGAGGCTGGCAGCAGAGGCTTCTACATAGGCTGCCAAGGCTCATCACCATTAGCAGTTGGAGCAAAGTGGACGCCGCAAGTGTGGTGCTTTGTGTGCATTCAATGCTCAGAATTGTCAGATTTTACAGATTTAGATTTGAATATGTCAGAAATAGACAAGAGTTGTCATTGCGCATCAACGCAACGACAAACATAATTCCATGCATGTTGCTTGTTCCAGAACAACTGTTCTCCTCCATGATCTCCATCAAGCCTTGCATTTTCGGGATGCTATGTTGTGAAGTTCAGTGGGAGCCAGCCATGCCCGATGTGAACCTCTAGAGGCCAGGTGAAACCGATGTGCAGAATGCCATTTGATATCATGCCCTTGCAACTTCAGAAACCCTGAAGGTGGAATGCCCCACAACCGCCTTCACAACTGCTGCCAGACGACGATTTAAATACAGTGGCGAACAAGCGTACAGCTATATGTACAGCGACTCCCCCACCCCACCCATGGCCTTGGACAAAACACTGGGACGTCCCAAACGACCCAATTCGCCCCAAAGCCAGCAGCCCTCTGCGACCATGCCCCACAGATCAGCCTGCCAATCCCAATGCACACAGCCCCCAAGGAAAGCCGTTCCCATCAGCGTCCCACACCCTGGGGCGGGCAGTCGTTCTGTTCACCTCGCCCGATGGCACATGGGCGGCACTTCCTAAGCCTGCCTAGACATAGTCAAAATGTGACATAGTCCGGTGTCCATTTCTTTCCCCATAGCGGACCATCCATGCCCACTGAGCCTGGTGGGGAAATTGGGCCCCGTCCAGGCCCTGGCACGTCTCAACAGAACGCCCCTCCGTCCCTCCCAACCCCAGGCGCAGCTCTTCAAAAGAAATCATCGACTGAGGCACCTGCTTCAACTCCTTCCAATCGACTCAACTCGGGGCCTTCCCTGCCACCAAGGCGTGGGTCGAGGTTCAAGGCCCCCTTCCCACCTGCGAATTTCCGCTGCCTGGCTCACATCCAATGAGTGGATCCCAAGCCACACAGGGGTGTTGGGGACAGACCCGGCCGCTGGGCAGCAACCAATCGCGGCCGCTGAGGAAGCAGCCGCTCTCGCCGCCGCTGGCGGGCGCGTCCCGGCCGCGCTCTCGCGGCCGCCGCCCAGCCGACCGGGCTGCATGGATAATACGACGGCCCAAGGTCGCCAGAATAACGGCCGGAAGGGTGACGTCCCGGCGCCCAGACCCGGCTTCCAGCCCCGCGCACGCCGGGGCCCGCGGGTGCATCCAGTCCGCCGCTCGGTCCCCTCTCCCCCCCCAGGCGGCCGGGCCAGATCCCGCCGCCAGCCCGCGCGCTAGCCCAACGTCCTCCTCCCGCCCCACCTCCCACCCCGAACCCCTGCGGCGTCAATCAAGACGGCTGAGGCGAATCAGAGGGCGGGTTGTGCGATTTCGACCTCCTGTGCCCGTCCCCGCGCCGGTGCCTCCCCCTGCGCCCCGCCCCGGTGCTGACGCTCCTCCGGTGCCCGCCCCCACCTGCCCTGTCCAGTTCCCTATCCGACCCCCTACGCGGCGTGCCGCTCCCGCCCCCAGGCGATCCACCCGCCCTCCTCCGCCTACTGCTCCCGCCGGGGTCCTTGCCGCCCAGCCGGATCGACCGCATCCTCTCCGGCACCTTCACGTTGATCGGCGGCATGAGCACGCGGCCGTCGCCACCTTCAGGCTCCCCGGCGGGCAGGTACTCCCCCCCGCCCGGGCTGGCCGCCACGCGGCCCACGCGCTCCAGCATCCCCGCCACCAGCTCGCTGCAGAACAGCCGCTCCACGCCCGGCCGGCCCGTGCAGCAGCACAGCGCGCAGCAGCACAGCGCGCCCAGGTCGCCCAGCTCCCCCGTCGCCATCAGCAGGCTCACGCGCCGGTTCATCATCTTACCGCGGCACTCCCGGGCAAACTCGGCGACGTCCGCCCTCTCGCGGTCGCTCAGCGGCCGCTGGAGCTTGCGCACAAGCACCAGGTCGAATCCCCCGCCCTCCAAGTACTGCTCGAGTCTGCTGAGCTTGACGCGTCCCAGCGCCCTCCCCGCGCCATCAGGCGATGCCCGCTTCGGCCTCGCCCCGCTGTGGCACACCATCAGGCCCTCCGTCCCCGGCTTCTCCCGTATGATGAACCCCACGTTCGAGAACCCGCTCCAGGTGCCCACCTTGGTGAGGTAGGTGCTGAAGCCCCGGCCGGCGAAGAGCACGATGTCGCCGGTGTCGAACTCGGCCTGCAGCTCGCTGAGGGCCCCGGCTCGCAGGCGGCGGTTCCAGAACAGCGCGCTCAGAAGCGCGCCCATAAAAGGCCGGGGCCCCGCGGGCCCGAGCGGGGCGGCCGTGCTTGCCTGGCTCGCCTGGGGGCGCCGGGCTAGGGGGCAGGCATGCCACGCCCCGCCGCGCCGCCCAGGATGGAATCGATGCGACAATTTTTGAGGGCAAAGAGTCCTGGTCTCAGGCGAGAGGGGGGCTGGGGGGAGGCCGGAGGGGAAGGGGCCCACGCGGGCGCGCTTTTGGTGCGCTGCCGGGGCTTCCCTGGGCTGCGATTGCTGGGCCAGGCGCCACGCCCCAGGTGCACGATGCCATGGCAAACGCCCCGGGATTACAGCATCGGTATGTACTGGGTTAGGCGGCTGGGCGGGCTGGGGGAATGTACTGGGTGGGTGGGTGTGAGTTGGCAGCGAGGGCGGTGGATTGAATGGGCCCGGCCGTGCTCGCGTGGCCGGCTGCCGCGTGGTGCGCTCTCCTCTTGTTCGTAACCCCCTTCGCCACGGGTCGATGTGTTTGGGCCATCAACCCCGAGAGTGTTCCCGCAAGGGTGCGAGCGTTCTCCTGGGCGATGCACCCCCACGGCGGGGCGTTCTGTTCCAACTCGTTCAGTTTTTTTCTGGGAGCTGTTTGGCTTTATTTCTTGTTGCAGTCCTGCTCCCGTTTTCTCGGTGTTTTTGAACTCCAGTAGCAAACTCCAAACTTTGTAGGCGCTCCATCTGCTCGTGGATGTTGCTGGCCGTCTTTTCTTGGGTGTTCCTGAGCTCCCTTTTGCTTGTGCATTTCTACCTGAAACTGCTGGGACGGCTTGGTTTGTCGACACACTGGACGATAAAAACACTTACTACGCCACGCTGACACTACAGGATGCTCAAAACTGTGACCGCCCTGAGCTGTCCCGGGGACCCCGTCTCAATCTCCTTAAATGCCGGAGGAACAGGAGGAATGTGGCCTTGACGGCTTGTAATTCACGAATCTTGACACGTTCGGCAGGGTTGCCACGCCATCCGCAAAAAAAGCTGCCCCAAAATGCTGCAAGTTGCACCGCTCTCGACAGGCCGAGTGGCCATCGCTTGCAGCAGCTGCATTCATGCGCATGACGCAATCCACACAAGGGACCGATGACCTTTG